TCTTTATAGGCGCTCAATAAATACCTCAAATATAATTATCAAAATCAGAACTGCAACTGCTGATGCACCAACCACTCTCCATCAAATCAAGAGTCCTCGTTAGGCCCTATAAAAAATATTATTAGTTTATCACCCTATCGGGGCAGGAAAAGTGATGAGGGAGGGAAGCTTTTTTTTTTTTAATTTTTATTTTGCTAAAGCCAAATATTACCCTTGGGTTGTTTGCTGGTGCATTGATATTAAAAGTAAAACATGATTTAGATAATGCAAACAATATCTACTAACTATTTAATAAAATAAATGAAAAAAAAATAAATAAATAAAAAAATTTAAAAAAATAAAATTTTTTTTTTTTTTTCAAAATTTTTTTTTCAAAAAAAACAATTTTTTTCCCCAGAAGGCATGCGCGCGAGGGTGATAAACTAATCATTTTTTTTTTATTGGGCCTTATAGTTTTAAAAAATACCACTTAAAAAGAATGATATAATACTGGTGCAGTCTATGTTAAAGGAGGAAGATGATCCGGTCCTACTAACTTAAAAGAAAAACAGGTCAAAATGATTTAGTTTATTCAAGGAGTTGGTTTACTCTGATTTACAAATGTCTTTTACAGCCAATATTCACATGTGAATATATTTATATATAGTTTATATACCCAGGTATGATATTGGTATTGGTATGGTTGAAGACTTATAATTCACGTAATACTAGGTCTGTGCTTTTAACAACAAATGTCTAAAGTTGAATTAAAAAAAAAGATGATGAGTCATTGCACTTGTTTTTTAGTCCCCCGGGTAAAAAAAGAAAGACAGCTCATTTCGTGTGCAGAGACGTAGACGTACGGTACGTGTAGTGAAATTGTGTGTCGATTTATTTTGCATTGTACGTTACTGTGCTTTTTTTATACAAATTTACCATGCCAGTTGCAGTTAAAGTAATATACTGGTGAGAATATTTTTTATTATTGTCCTGAACATTCTTTGTGTAGGCCCTAGGCCTAGTTATTATTAATGTGTGGCCTATTTTTAAATTAGGGAAGAGTCTCTATCTAGCTAAGGCCTAGGCCTAGGTTCTAGATAAGGAGGTGGCCTTGCATAGGCGGGGCACTGTTTGTAATTACACAGTGTAGCCTAGGCCTTCACTGACAAGACTAGGTCTAGACATGGAGGTATAGTCTAGATAAGCCTGGATTATAACTCGGCCTAGGCTTAGCTAGCCTGTAAAGTACTACATATCGTTTGTTATTACACTGTCAGTATTAATTACAGTATTAATCCATGCCTGCTGATCAGGTTGCTTAAAAAAGGCGGTTAACAACATGATCATATTGATGATCAATTTTTTTTTTTTTTTTTTGCCTTCCTTTGGTATTTGGATTGATTTTTTTTAAATGAAACCTATTTATGCATTTTGTATAGTATTCTATTTCAATTCATGTGGCAAAACATAGGATTCCCTCCCCTATCGAATCCGCCCCTGGCATGGATCTTGGTAGGTGGGATTTGGAATAAATGACATAGGAAATGGCAGCGATTCCATTTAAAAAAAAAATTGACTGTGATTTGACTCACTGAGATCTGAAATTATTCACTCACATTTTGTTAGGGGAGGCATGTCCCTACCCCTGGAATCTCCCGTTCTCCTCAGCTGGTTGCTGGTCCCACGGGCCAGATCTGGCCTGTTAGAACAAGCCTAAATAAATTATAGTTAAAGCCCCTAATACCCATTTCACACTAGCAGAAAATATTACAACTTTTAACAACTATTAACAAGTTGTAACAAGTTTGATATTCCGAGATTTTTGGTTCGTTTCACACATGCACTTTCAAACCATGAGAAATCTTGGAAGAATATTATGACTAGGCCTAGAGGCCTAGGGTAGTACTAGTGGTATTCGTACTAGTAGGCCTAGGCTAGTTGTAGGTTGTCCGAATTTCATAACAACTACTAAACTAGGCCTGGTACCGAATTAACAAGATTATAATTATTCCATGGTCCTTAGCCTTCAGAGAGTAAAACGAATTCAACTCCTATAAAACACAAACAGAAATGATTACAATTATGTATGATATTAATTTAATTTCAGCTAAGTCTGTATTTTTAACCTATATTTATATTTTTATATACATTCAAACAAATCAATTCAGTAAGGTCATTTTAGGTAAAAATTACTAGTCAACAATTGTTTTGTCTGGATTGCTGTTACATGATGTATCTTTATAGGCGCTCAATAAATACCTCAAATATAATTATCAAAATCAGAACTGCAACCGCTGATGCACCAACTACTCTCCCTCAAATCAAGAGTCCTCGTTAGGCCCTATAAAAAATATTATTAGTTTATCACCCTATCTGGGCAGGAAAAGTGATGAGGGAGGGATCCTTTTTTTTTTTTTTTTTTATTTTGCTAAAGCCAAATATTACCCTTGGGTTGTTTGCTGGTGCATTGATATTCAAAGTAAAACATGATTTAGATAATGCAAGCAATATCTACTAACTATTTAATAAAATAAATGAAAAAAATCATTTCAATTAGATTTTTTTTTAAATTAAAAATTTTTATTTTCATTTTTTTTTTTCAAAATTTTTTTTTTTCCCAGTACCATAGAAGGCATGCGCACGAGGGTGATAAACTAATCATATTTTTTTAATTGGGCCTTATAGTTGAAAAAATACCACTTTTTGAGAATGATGATATAATAGGTGCAGTCTATGTTAAAGGAGGAAGATGATCCGGTCCTACTAACTTAAAAGAAAAACAGGTCAAAATGATTTAGTTTATTCAAGGAGTTGGTTTACTCTGATTTACAAATGTCTTTTACAGCCAATTCACATGTGAATATATTTATATATAGTTCATATACCCAGGTATGATATTAGTATTATTGGTATGGTTGTAGACTTATAATGCACGTAGGCCTAAATACTAGGTCTGTGCTTTTAACAACAACTGTCTAAAGTTGAATAAAAAAAAAAAAAAAAACAGATATTAGATGAAGAAGAGACATATATTTATTTTTCAAGCTACTTAAGTTTCAACTTGGATCATATGAAGAAAATGCTATGTCGAATGTTATTTTATACCTGGAAAGGTCGAAGAAGTTTGAATATCCTACTGATGAGTCATTGCACTTGTTTTTTAGTCCCCGGGTAAAAAAACAAAGACAGCTCATTTCGTGTGCAGAGACGTAGAAGTACGGTACGTACGTGTAGTGAAATTGTGTGTCGATTTATTTTGCATTGTACTTTACTGTGTTTTTTAATACAAATCTACCATGCCAGTTGCAGTTAAAGTAATATACTGGTGAGAATATTTTTTTATTATTGTCCTGAACATTCTTTGTGTAGGCCCTAGGCCTAGTTATTATTAATGTGTGGCCTTTTTATATTAGAGAAGAGCCTCTATCTAGCTAAGGCCTAGGCCTAGGGTAGTTCTAGATAAGGAGGTGGCCTTGCATAGGCGGGGCACTGTTTGTAATTACACAGTGTAGCCTAGGCCTTCACTGACAAGATAGATAAGCCTGGATTATAACTCGGCCTAGGCCTGTTAAGTACATATCGTTTGTTATTACACTGTCAGTATTAATTACAGTATTATTCCATGCCGCTGATCAGGTTGCTTAAAAAATGCTGTTAACAACATTTTTATCATTTCTTAATTGTTCGATGATCATTATTGATGATAAATTTTTTTTTTTTTTTTTTTTACCTTCCTTTGGTATTTGGATTGATTTTTTTTAAATGAAACCTATTTATACATTTTGTATAGTATTCTATTTCAATTCATGTGGCAAAACATAGGATTCCCTCCCCTATCGAATCCGCCCCTGACATGCATCTTGGTAGGTGGGGTTTGCAATAAATGACATAGGAAATGACATAGGAAATGGCAGCGATTCAATTTTTTTTAAAATTTTACTGTGATTTGACTCACTGAGATCTGAAATTATTCACTCACATTTTGTTAGGGGAGGCATGTCCCTACCCCTGGAATCTCCCGTTCTCCTCAGCTGGTTGCTGGGCCCGCGGGCCAGATCTGGCCTGTTAGAACAAGCCTAAATAAATTATAGTTAAAGCCCCTAATACCCATTTTACACTAGCAGAAAATATTACAACTTTTAACAACTATTAACAAGTTGTAACAAGTTTGATATTCCGAGATTTTTGGTTCATTTCACACATGCACTTTCAAACCATGAGAAATCTCGGAAGAATATATTATGACTAGGCCTAGAGGCCTAGGGTAGTACTAGTGGTATTCGTACTAGTAGGTCTAGGCTAGTTGTAGGTTGTCCGAATTACATATCAACTACTAAACTAGGCCTGGTACCGAATTAACAAGATTATAATTATTCCATGGTCCTTAGCCTTCAGAGAGTAAAACAAATTCAACTCCTAGCTCGCTTGCTGTAGTCGAGCTGGCGAGAAAGATAG